TGTATTTCTTATGGCATTGTCTGTGTCTTGTGCGCATTAGAATAGAAATATTGCTCTTGACTTCAAGATGGTTTTGTGAAAAATACAACTTACTTGTTAACTTTGCATGCAGAGCACGTTGGAATATTTCTGCCGTAAAATGTCTGCTGTACAGCCTGTACTTACTCACTCATACATAGCATTACACTGAATTGTTGTACTTCTGTGGCCTGATTGTTCTCGGTATTACGGCGGGATTATTGGTCATGACAGTGACTAGTGAGCAGGAAGGGCTGCTTCACATCGCAATTCACACAAATTCCCGCTCTCGCCCGTGGCAAGACCAGCAGTTTGCGACAACATGGCGACTATCCGGTACTCTGACGGATAGTCACGATACAGTAGGTTCACGAACTTGTGCTTAATTCAGATTTCGTCAAAAAAAAAACCTTCAGAACCAGCCCTAGAAATTGGGACAGCAGTTCCCCTTTAAAGATTCTCTGTTGCCTTCCATCTATTTTCAAACCACTTTATCCATGGGACAGCCGGAGCCTATCCTGGCCATCAACAGGATAGGTCGGAGGGGTACACTCTGGACAGGGCACACACATACAAGACACACTCACACCAGCGACAACTTTCCCAGAAGCAATCAACCGTCCAGTGCGTCTTTGGACTTGAGGAGGAAACCCATGAGAAAATGAGAAGAACATACAAACTTGACGCCGATACGACCCCTGAATTCTGGGGATCCCAGTCCCAGGGTGCCAGTTAGGCAGTAATAGTGACCAGTGCGCCACCATGCCTCCCTGTTTGTGTTTCCATTTAATTTTCCTTTTCCATAAGAAATAATTGTTCAAATAATGAGAAAAAACATTTGTTGTTTTCCCACAAGTGCATAAGGGATTCAAAACACTGGCACCACACATTTTTGCCAATGGAAAAAGTATTAATTGGGCTGCTTCGATATGTGGTTCTATCTTGTCTTCTAGAGTTAGACATGAAGGGGTCTTTGCAGAGTTCAAATATACATTCAGAATCCAGACCCTGCTTATTCCAGGTAAGAGTCAGCAATTCAGAGTCTGTTTCAGAAGCCTAGGGCACATCACAGGATTGCAGTCTGGATGGGGCTTCACTCCAGTTTGGTTGCAGTGGTTAGAGTAGAGACACAATTCAAGAAAAAACATACAAGATTCGAAAGGAAAATCCGCAACACGATGAGAAACAAAACAGAAATCATAAAAACGAAAATATCACACAGGCAATTAAACAATGAACGTAATAAGTATGACTTTTCTTAAATTAAGAAGCAAGGATCTAAACAATCTTCGTTCCTGGACAATTTGTGCTCCTTGAATTCCTGGCAATCTCTAAAAGATCAGCGAACTGACACTGTATGTTCCTCTATTAAAACTTTGTCCACTTTAGGATCATAATGAATATCACGTTTCAATATTTATTAACATATTCACAATCCCTGAAACAAAAAATGGATATGTACTGTAGCTGCTCGGAAAACCTGAAGAGGTTAAACAAACAAAAAAGCTCAAGTGGGCAGCAGAACTGATACGCATTCAATAACACAGTTTTGAGCTCATATACGTCTTCCTGCTCGGTCTGCAAAAAGGCCATTAGCAAGTCTTCTAATGGTGTTTGTATGCAATCTGTCATTTGGAGTAGTTTTTACATAAGAACTTAAGAAAGGCCACAAACGAGAGGAGGTGATTCAGCCTATCTAGCCTGTTTGGTATTTCGGCGCTAATTGATCTCATTCAGCCCTTTCCCGAAAAAAAGCCAGGATATTGGCTTCTGCGATGTGGCTGTGAAGCTTGCTCCTCACTCCCATAACACTCAAGTTGAGACACTGATTTCAACACGTATGCGTAAGATATTTCTCTGAACTCTGTATACCGTATTCCACACACGGCAGCAGTATTCGCCTTGTACAGCTCGAGCGCGGGTACGTTATCGACTGGCGGCTTGCTGGAGAGTAGATTAAACAGTGCGCTGTTTTCCAGGGCCCTAGCAGTGTAGTGGAGACGTCTCCAGACTCACGCCTGGTGGGTTGTGGGATCAGGGCCCTGCTGCACACACTGCTGTCGTGCCTTGAGAGAGCTCTAGCATACCCTGCTCTGTAAACGGGGACGGTCCTGTCTGGGGTGGGCAGTCACAAGCTATTCCTGCCAACATCATGCTGGGGAAACCAGGATGAGCTCGGCCCCACCTGTAGCTCAGGATTTGGCAATGACTTATCTATCTGCATGCGGCTTTCATATGGTGCCCTTTCATTTAAGACATGAGAGGGAATCACGTGCTGCCTGTGTTTTATACCCAATTTGTTTTGCTTCCAAAAGGATTCCCAGTATGATTTCTGGTAAAAGTCACGGGGGGAGGGGGTGTAGTGCAAATCAAACAAGGTCAAACCCGTGTTAACAATAAGGTCCTGAACACCAGCTGAACACAAGCGAATCTACAGCACATACTGATACTGTTCTCTCACTTCTTTCTACAGCGAGGACTGATTGGGAGCATGATCATGAGATTTCATGGTGTCATGAATGACGGTGTGATTAAAAAGAGACAGACCTAAAAAGCACATATTGACAATCATTCCAAACTCCACGCAAAAAAATATAAAACAAACTACTACCTAAAAATGATTTAGTAAACACTGCAAGACCCCGAGTCTCTTGTAGCCCATGGCTTGCCTCACTTATTGCCCTGAAGACAGATTAAGCCCTTACACAAATGAACAGTTGGATAGGGAGATAATGCGGGTTTGTACTTCAGCAAAAGACTCTCCACAGGACGGCCAATTCTCAGTCTCTCAACTGAAAAAACAAATATCTTGTTCTTGAACAGAAAAAGCATCCTAGAGAAACAAGCTCTGCCTGGAGGGTATACAAAGGAAATAAATGTTCCCTCAAATATAAAAAATAGACCTTTCCACTAAATCTACTGCAGGTCTATTCAACACTCAAGAATGCCTGTTGCCTAACAACAAACTATTGCCCTAAATTGACCGAAATATAAATATTGTAATAATCTAGAGCCTAGGTATACAATATTATCTGACTAAGCATTACACTTCTCTTGTATAATAAGGTTTAATATTTAAAAGATGTATGGATTGTATATTCAAATAACTGTGACGTTTTTTTCCCCAAATCTACTTGCTTGCAGATTGTGTGGCTTGTCGTTTGTGGTTGTGCAATATTATAGTATAATTTATATTTGTAAGATGTACTATAATGTCATAATGTGAATGAACAAAACTGAATTAATTTAAACAGAAGCCCACAATTTGGAATACTGAGCTCAATCAAGCAGGCTAAGTTCTCCTTTCTAAACTGGCATTTCGTAAAGTACTGTTCCTGGAACTAAAAAGTCCTGTTCCGTTTAAAAATAGTTAAATAATATATTATTGTATAAACTAAAAATACTAAACTCTTCAATAAATATTTATTTTTTAATAAAAGCTATTAAGTCTTCTGTAACTCATGAAAGAGGATGAGTAAATTGACCCTAAGCACTGTCTAATTAATTAAAACTGAATTTAAACAGCACATGACACACAACTCAGGCACCACATATCTTAGTTAAGTCTGACAGTTCCAAAAACCGTGATAAAATCATTTACTGAAAAGCCACAAAAGAAAAAACAAACAAAATAATGCTGTGAATGCTGACACTTTTATGTGGGCCCACAGATTTGCAAGGTTCTCAATGCTTCTCATTTCGAGGTAGAAGTTTCTCACTGTTGTGCCCAAGTAATTGAAAACGTCTGAAACGTACTATAGATCTATAGCAGAAAGAAAACCAAAACAATGCAGGCATGGTGGAGCACAACGAAATCATTCCTTCATTCTTCATTTTATTAAATCAATCAAGTGGTATTAATGGACCACTAGATGGGACTCTGCCTCTTGGAAATCAACAAAAACAGAAAATACAGCAGTTCACTGGGAGACAATGTACACTAATTACTTCCATTCTTTGACATTGGGAAGGATGTTAAGACCTGAAATTTGGCATAATTACTATCAATTTTGCTGATGCTTTCATGCAAAATCTACTTACATTTTGAACCATTTTGTACCTTTTCATACAGCTAGATATACAGTTCTCCTAGAAGCTATAGTATCTGAGCGCAGTGCCTTGTTCAAGCGTACAGCAGACAGACCCCACCTGGGATCTCATACCCCACCTTCTACTCCCCCACACTGTTGCCTAGTGTTAATAATCCAGTCAATGCCCACACTGCAAGACAGCAGCACGGCTGTCTTCATTAAAAAGGTTTCCACAAGGAATCTGTATATCACTTCAGTATCTTGTCCTGTCTTCCTTTCAGGCTTTTATCAGGATCTCACCATGGTGTGGTGTGATCAAGGACAGTCCGTCCCTCACATGTAAGATGGTTTGCAAATCAAGGTCCTGACTCTCTGTGGCCATTAAAAATCCCAGAGCGTTTCTCAAAACGAGCAGTGGTGTTACCCCGGTGTCCTGGCCACATTTACAGTACCACTGGCCTTTATCAATCATGGCCTCCTAGTAATCCCCATCTCTGAACTGGCTTCATCACTCTGCTCTCCTCCCCACTGAGAGCTGGTGTGTGGGTGAGCCTACTGGTGCACTGGCTGCTACTGGTGCCTACTGGTGCCTACTGGTGCACTGGCTGCTGTCACATCATCCAGGTGGGGCTACACCCAGGTGGTGGAGGGGAGACCCCATTACCTGTAAAGTGCCTTGAGTGGAGTGCCCAGAAGAGCGCTATACAGTATAAATGTAAGAGAGTGTAAGTGAAGTGAAAAAGTGGTTAAAAGACATTCAGTCAGCTGGCGCATTTTCGTGGTGTTTTCATTTCACTTTCATTGTCCTCAGTCACGCCCAGCTAACTGCTGATTTAGTAAGCCCTGTGGGAGCCGACACAAGGAATCCGGCTGTCAGGGCTTGCTCAGGACGTCCAGCAGCACACTGAGGCGAGGGTCAGTGGAAAGCGCTGCGCTAGGGCAACGTCTTACCTTGCTCCCATTCTCCCTGGGCTCCGTCTTGAGGTCTGGCAGCAGGAGGCCCTTGTACTTGCTCCTCCCGTTGGCCGTGTGATTCTCCGTGTGGCACTCTGCCGCGAGGGGACAGTCACTGAGGTTCAGGGGCTGCTCCTCCGGCTCCGAAGGGCCCACGCCGTTGCTGTTGGCGTCTGCCGTCTCTCTACAGTGGTTCCCTCTCGGTCCGGCGGGCTTGTACGCCACCGTCTCGTTGCCGTTTATACTGTCCGCCGCCGAGTCATCTGCTTGAGGAAACGGAAGAAAAGTACTTTATTGCGACCGCCGCCAATATTCAGTTTCGGTCTTCGCTTGTCAGTTCCCAGAACATAGAAAAAAAAATAACAAAAGAGTTCCTCACTCCTGGTTTGGGCTTTTCATGAAAACTGGGGAAGGTAGGAAATAAAAACAGAAAGGACAAGAATGTTTTGGGCAAGGTTTTTGAATCAACATGGAACTTTGGAACAAACTTTTTGTTTTTGGAGATCTTTATACAGAAATAACATACCTTATCATTTAAATTAATGTAAAACTAAAGAAATGCTGTGTCTTGGAATAAACATACATTTAACGACAGTACCGGACATCATGAAGTATCGGATTACAGTACTTGAAAGAAGTCAGGGGAGCCCAAGAAATCTCAATGTGTAATTTTAATTTTTGTCTTGCCATTTCTTTAAAGAAATGATACGTTATGACAATGTAAACGACTAAAACATTGTGCTCTTCGTTGCTGGCGGTGATCTGGGATTAGCAGTTGCAGCAGCACAGCTAGTATTGCAGAATCAACATTCAAAATGAAGCCAAGGTCCCAACGACTTTACGGCTGTTCCCACTGTTCCAGTATCGCTATATACAAGCCGACACGCAATATTAAACATCACAGAAAGTGCCAAGTGTGCAGCACTAATACAACAGCGTTGACTTCTCTTGAGTGCTTTGAGCTAGTATCTGACATGATCAATCAGGCAGACCCTATTCTCCAGTGGGACCACTCATTCCCCCAGAGCAAGGACCTCCACTTTCACAACAAAGTGCTGCAAAACTGAACGCGTCCAGGATCAGATCTGCCTTTCATTACGGAAGGGTGTCAATTACAGTTCTGTACAAAAGGGCTTGAGTAATCTTTGTTTATATTTATACAGTGGATAAAGTAGAGGGGACCTGCTGCAGGGCATGATTTATGATACTGTATAATGTGAGAAAGACAAGGTGAGCAAAGCACCGAGGATCAGGGCAATTATAATGAAATTGTACATCAGGACTATGGTGGAGCATACAAAGCCATACATTCAGTAAAGCAGCAAGAAAAGAAACAACTCAAGAACTTAGGGTCAAAGCTCAGTGTTTCATTTTGTTTATATTTTTTTTTGTTCAACAGTCTTTGAAATTTTCATATTAACCATTACCCGAGGATTCAAAAGACTGGATGTCTAGGCTTGCTGAATTTCTAGTGAGCATTGCAGTGCCTCTCTTGTCTTAACTCTGACAAATTAAAAACATCACATCTTTCGTGGGAGGATGTGTCCCAGGCGAACCTAAACATATCCCCCAGTGAAATATAAAGAGGGGTTGTTATTCCATAATTTGTAATAGATTGTAAGAAATGTGTGTTTCCCTGGAGCCACGTGGGAATGATCAACACAAACACGAAAAATTAATGTGAAAAAGAAAGGGCCGTCGATTCGCCGAATTATCAATTTGTATGATGCGAAAGGCTTCTAAATTAACAGTACTTCCAGTAACCACACGCCACCTGTCTCTGCTGTCTTGAAGTGTAGTGCAAAGCCTGACCATACTGTAGCTCTGAAACATTAGAAGGTATCAGAGGAGCACTTCAGTTCTACATCATGACTTACAACAGCTTTGAGCAATTTCTATTGTCCCTACACTATTCTAGTCCTTCATACTGTATTGATAATAAGCATGGGCACCAGTACATCATAATCATTGTGATGTAGACAGTACATTCCAGGAGCTATGAATAATATGACAGGTGATTCAAATATTAAGATAAATGTTTCCTTATACTGAGTTTTGGAACATTAGAAACATGCAATTACAGTATATGAAAAAAAAGTTTTAGGAAATTAGATATTGGATCCCTTTCAGACAGCAGAACTGCTACCACCTGCTCAGAACTCAGGATCTAAGCAAGACTGTGGCTGGTGAGCACTGCAATGGGAACTCCTATAGAGAACAAGGAAAACCAGTTTGCAGCTCTGCGTGATGTTGGTAGACCAGTAGGTGGCGCTCTATAAACACATTCGATTGAGAGAAAACTTTAAAACTTAGTCATTGAACATATGGTAGGAGCGAAAGGAGTGGGAATGTTAACTGTTGATTTTGAACACTCTGGACTGCATAAAGGTGTCCTTTAATTCAAGCAGTTGGGAACTTTTCCATCTGTGATTGACAAAATAGGTAACTTTTTATTTGTGCAAAACACTTTGGTACCCATGTGGATGAAAAGCAATTTACTTTTATTATTATTATTATTATTATTATTATTATTATTATTATTATTAAACTTTTACACTCTTAAGACTCCATATGCCTTGAATTGTGTACAAATCTTGGAAGAAACTAATGCTGCAGCCTTCATTGTGACACAGAATACATACATATCGCTGTTTTGGGGAACATGGGAAGATAAATATCTCTCTTTTGTGCAGCATTTTCCACCGCACTATGTCTACATCATTTCTTTCAAACAAATAATCATAATGTTGCCTAGTAATAAAGAAAAATTAAAGCTACTCAAGAGGACTAAATTAGCGCCTTGAAAAGTTATTTTATTGCTGTATTTTTTTGTCTTATTTAGCAGGTTTTAAGAACATGCAGGTAAAGCATTTCTAAAGGTATTATAAATTTGGCCACCTATTTTTTACACGAAACTAGATGGAAACTCTTTGCTCAACAAGGTGCCTTTGTTGTCAGCAGAAACTAATACTGTCTTGGACAGGTCTCAGACAACAGAGGAGGGCCAATAATGTGATCTATTAAGTGCATTTGTATATGTGACACATAGGAACTACTGCCGTAAAACTCTGTTTAACAATTAAAGTATACAATTTTTTAACTTTGTTTTTTCAGTTTTCCAACACGAGTGTTTGCAGCACACTTAGAAGTGACAGTATTTTATCACCAGACCCTGGAAGACGTTTCTTCCACTTTGGGCCAAAAGCATTAAGCCTGTCGAGAGGCAGAAACTCCACACCCTCGGAAAGCACGCACAAACACGCCCCAGTCCTTAAAAACGACTGGAGGTAGTGATCGTCTCCGCAGCCCCTCCCTTCACAAAACCCGACAGCTGTTCCTTCACCGGGACAACATTCCCTGCCTTTCCTCAAGCGAGGAAGAGGCCGATGACGTGGGCGAGGGAGAAGGCGGAAAAAAACCTGCCCGTCGAAATTCCACTCTTGAGCGGCTACCGCTAATCGCGGAGCCCGCTCCTCAGCCTGAAATACCTCAGCGTTGCTGAGGCGGGCCAGTTCGAGCGCTGCGGCTCCAGCATCCCTCAGGCGAGGTCCAACCTTTTTCTTGCAGCGCACCCAGGGATTAGCCTGACTTCCCTTAAATTCTCCCCGTTGCACAGCAAGAGCTAATCTTCCCCTGCGCGGAGCAGGAATGGGGTTGCCATGGAAACCGAGCACATTCTGGCAGAGCCACTACAGAGATGAGCCGCGGAAACGACAGTGAAGCATGTACTCGGCCTTCCTCCAGGGTGATGGGCTCCTTCCTCTATGATTAAATTCCCCGACAAGTTTACAGATGGGCCAGAGTGCTGTATTTTGCCAGAGGGATGTTTGCTGCTAAAGGAAGGAGGTTTCAGGATCACAGCAATGGCTAATGAGCCTGCTTGAATTCTGATTTTAGTGAAAGAGCACTCCCCCCCACCACCTCTGCCACCCCTCCTCCCTTTCTCTCTCCCCCCATCAAGAGCCACTGCAAAGCCTTTAGTCCCTAAACATTCTTACACTTCGGATGTTTTTCATTTGCTATGGCTGTAAATGACAATTCACTCAAGGACGGGCCAACCGACGCAAACTAAGCCTCCAGTTCGCCACAGCCTTGTTTCAGAAAACAACGGCACCTCACACCTGTGATTTCTGGGTTCCTGGCCAACTGTGGATTACCTGTGACGCTCCCTAGCTAAGAAACCAAGGGAAATCAAAATCCTTTGGGCAAGCTGATGTTTATCTTCGAGGCGTGTTTATCTAGGGGGACTGGAGAGGACACAATAAGTACCTGTTCAATCAGGGGCATCATATCACTTCATTTATCTGATGCCATGACTGCTTCGCCTGAGTTGTGCACTGTAGCGGTTCTCAGTTCCTACCACGGGGTCTATCAGAATGGCGAATAGTGATTTTCCACAGGCTCACAATCGCTGCTGCTTGCTACTGCTGCTGCTCCTGCTGCTCTGCCCTGCAGCAGGATCTGTGGGACCAAGTGCCTAGCTCGAGTCTCCATGGCGATTTCTCCCTCTATCCAATGGGGATTAATACTCTCTTGACAGGCAGGCAGCCGGCGTCGACCTGAATGAGGAATCAAAGCCGATCCACCGCCCCAGTCCAGGGGGCTGCTGTGGGAGCTGATGGCTGACACAGAAAACACATTAGACACAGACAATGAAGTCGCGCTGGATGCTGCTTTATTGCTAGTATTCCTTATTAAATGTGGTTTGCACGTCTGAGAAAACACAGAAGCCATCCCAGGGAAACAAATTAAAAGCCAGGAGCCTCTTGGCAGGTGCAGGTGGATCTGCTTGCAGCCCACTAAGGAATTTCACATATCCTGTGCCGTGACAACACAAGCACAGCCCAGACCCAGTAGATTTCACCTGTTAAGCAGCATGACTTCCTATTAATAATAATGGCTTCCTGTGTCAGTCGTGTGTCATTGTCCCAACCTGCGACTCAAACGTATGCGAGCAAGACATACAATCTTTTAGGGAGAGGCCGGCTAAAATAATCGATCCAAAATGTAAAGTTTAGCCCTGTTCAGCTCTTGATAGCTTTGATTTCTGTAACAGCATAGCATGTTGTGCTGGCTACAATGCACAGTGTGTTTGCTCTGGAGCTCTGTAGTACCTTCTTAAGGGAAACATAGTGTGATAAGTGAAGCCAAGCACATTGTTTACAAGCATCCTCTTTCAAATATACAGACTGCTGCAAAATGGATGAATATAAGCATGCAGTAAAGTAAAGATAGAATACATACAGCCAAATTGAAAAGGTGGCAC